CCCAGTTTCAGTTAATGCAACACAAATCAATCATGTAATCCAACACAAACGGATTAAGTAAACTGAAATTGTACATATATTTAAGCAGATTGAACACAATCAAATTAAGTTCGGGCAAAATGGCTATACTATACTGCCACCCTTTGGATGTACGAGTTTTTTTACTTAACATAAATGGTTTGTGTTTAGACAACACGTACGGATTTTGTACTGTTAAGTTGAGACATAATTGCACAGACCTTAATAGAAAAAAACCCAAACATTTCAAGTCAAAAAACACAATTATTGTAAGTAAGCTAAATATAAATATATTGCTATTTTGTTGCGTCTAAACCCATAGATATGTATATAAAGGCTAGATGTGTTACGGCGGAGTTTCCATCGTCATCACCGGCGGCCATTTTGTCACAGACAAGCTGATGTAAGATGAGTGGTCGGCACGAACACACATACTCTTGACGGATTTACCAACGGTTTGGTTTCTTACAACCGTTATTAACGAGGCTATAATCATCTGGATGATTATTTATTTATACACTTTTTATTCATAAGTATGCAGTGTCATAACTACATCTCTGTCGTTTATAACAAAACAAACCGTTTGAAAATCGGTAGAAAATTGAGGAAGTTATGGTCATTTAAATAGTACATGTACCATTATGTTACGAGTGAGCGAGCTGCCTGTGACAAGATGGCCGCCAGGTGCAGACGTCGACCCCCATTGGCCAGCAGTATGGATGAGATATCTAGCCTTTATATAGATATCTATGTCTAAACCAATCATTATATTAAATTCAATGCCACTACGGTTAATAACACAACAGTGTGTCCTGGTTACAAATAATTGTCACCAAATAATCACCGACAGCAGATTTGTCACATATTGCTCCAATAAATTGGGACACATTTCACAATATTTCACATTTGATCTCTTTTTTTGGCAAGGAAAAAACATCCTTTTGTAGTATAGTATTTCTTTGGTTAAACCTTTCTCGCTACTATAAAACGGTATATTATCTGACTATTTCTGTGATATATTATTAGTTACTTCAAACACTCGACTGACATTATAAAGTAAGCGGAGTTGAAACGTCATTGAATGTCGGACGACGATTCTCATTATACGTTCAGAGAGATGTTTGGTGTGTGTTCCTTGTGTCAAATCAATCTCACAAGACTTACACACATGTAACAGCGTTTACTGTGAGAACGTGAACATGAAACGCATCGTGAGTTCATAATCACTAATAATCCTATAAGTTAAATGTGTATCCTAAGCTGTACAGTAAGAGTGCTAGAGAGATTCGACTGCAGGCCGTGGAGATGAACACCAGATCATATCTGATGGACAGATTACAGATGAACACAGTCCTGTGAGTCGAAGGCGGATATCAGTCCAACGCATTTCTATTAACTCAGCAAAACTCAACATTATCTACCAATTACAAGATCAGATGATGATCCTCGGTCTCGTGAATTACACTCAAACGTCCTTCGCACTTTAATAAGGCATATCAATTTGATGTTGTTTTAATGTGTTAATAAACTGATTATTAACTAGTTTGTTTGCTTTTATGACGTCTGATCTTACATTATCATGCAGTCATTTGTGCGTCACACCATTAAGAACCACTAACCTGAACTCTCAGATGCAATAAAACAGCTAAATAAGAGGTTTTATTCTAGATTTGCGCAGTTATAAATCACCTAGCGCTTCCGGAGAAGACAAAGGCATTTACTGCGCCCGGTGTAATATCGTTCCAGGCTCTTCCTGTCAACATTATGCAGAGCTGTGCAACCTTCAACAATCTCCCAGCATCCCATATGAGACTGCAAGCAATTAAAACGATAGCATCTTCATAGCCTCATAACCAATAAATAAAGTCGCAGCGGTGTTGGTGTTAAGTTCACTAATATCTGAGGGGGTCAGGAAGGGGAGAGCCGGCCGTTCACACAGAGATCACCACGTTCATTACAGGAGGACTAATTATACAATCATTAGAAGTATTCATGAATGAATACATAATGTCTATTTTTCATACTGTACATTATAATGTCTTGATTCCAAAATTTATTTAGACATCATATAATTAATAATTATTAGGGCTGTCAAACGATTAATCGCGATTAATCACATCCAAAATAAAAGTTTATGTTTCCATTTAATATGTGGGTGCACTGCGTATAATTATTTTATATATATATATATAAGTACACACACACACACACACATGTATATTTAAGGAAAAAAAAAAATATATATATATATATTTATATTTATATATAATATAAATTATATATAAATCTATATGCAATATACATGAAAATATTTCCTAAATAAATACAAGCATGTGTGCGTATCTATATATATAAAATAATTATACACAGTACACCACATATATTATGTAAACACAAACTTTTATTTTGGATGTGATTAATCGCGATTAATCGTTTGACAGCCCTAATAATTAATAATTATTTTAGAGCTGTCAAGCGATTAATCGCGATTAATCGCATCCGAAATAAAAGTTTGTGTTTACATAATATATGTGGGTGCACTGCGTATAATTATTTATATATATATATATATATATATATATATATATATATATATATATACTGTATATATATACATGTGTGTGTATTTATATATATATATATATATATATAAATACACACACATGCATGTATATTTAAGAATTTTTTTATTTATATATAAAATATTTATATTTAGATATAATATAAATTATATATAAATCTATATAGTATATACATGAAAATATTTCTTAAATATATACAACCATGTGTGTGTATTTATATATATATATATATATATATATATATATAAATAATTATACACAGTGCACCCACATATATTATGTAAACACAAACTTTTATTTTGGATGCGATTAATCATTTGAAAGCCCTAATAATTATTATTATTATTATTATTTTATTAGATTTTAAATTTGACAATAAACATGCCAAAAAAGAAACACAACAAACAACAACCTATCTACCAATCCCTCCCACCCACCCCGCGGTCTCTTTATAATGGGTACAAAATGAACAGATAAGTCAACAGAAAAACAGTCACAGGAATGATAAAACATATATATATATATATATATATTAAATATAAATATTTATAATTATATATACAAATTCTAATATGTATAAACTTGTAAAATATTTGCATACTGATTAGTTACAGCAAACGCACATTAATTTCTATAATGTCATAAATATTGTGTTTACATGTTCAAAACTAATAAAGCAAAGCACACGGACTCAAACTAGCGAATCACGGCTCAGAAACGGCTTGATCCATCAAACGTGACTGACAGCTGGGGAAATGAGCGGCTCTGAGTTACGACTTATGACACATTCATACGCGGGTCTTTAATACTTAATCAACTCACTTGAAATACTCAACACTACATCAAAATCTGCCTTCAGAGTTCTCAACCAAAATTAAAACAAAGACTACATCAAATGCATTGTGTGGCCTAAAGCGCATCAGAAGCGGAAGGAAGTGCTCTAGGTGCGAGACAGCCAGATACTTTATGATTTATGAGGATGTTGAATTTTATAGTTTGTCTCTGTAAGTGTATGTGACTCTCCTCTTCGGGCTAAAACGCAGAGAGTTCCCTACAGGAAGAGCTGCCCGCCTGATTTATGCAGCACTGGGGTATACGAGCAGCGTTACGGCAGCATGACACACACACACACACACACACACACACGGGCCATTCCTGCTCAAGAACCCCAAAACAAGCTAGTGAAACTTTCTTGGACACCATCACGGTGTTAAACTCACAGAAGTAAGAGCTTCCACACTGGCAGACATGAAAACACACACAGCTCATCTCTGACATGTGTCACATGACTCCACTCAGAACGCCAATCAGCAGAGAGAAAATGAGTCGAGTGAAACTTGATAGTTAACGCAAAAAATGCATTCAATAATAATTATGAATGCATATTAATCATGGATCCATCTCGGTTATTGGCCAATATTAGATTGATTGATTTATTTATTTACACAAATAATTCAAAAACACTGTTAAATGTCATCCCAAAAGTGATCTATATTGTAGATTTCATACTGTGCATTATACGGTTGGGATGCCTACCCTATATCAACTTAGTGTTTTCATTTAGTTAAAAAAAATCATTTTAAAAACAAGCCATTTATTGGCTTTCATCCATTAAATTATATATATATATATTAGTGCTGTAAAACGATTAAAATATTTAATCGCGATTAATCGCATTAATGTCACAGTTAACTCACAATTAATCGCACATTTTTATCTATTCTAAATGTCTCTTGATTTCTTTTTGTCCCATTATTTTTTCTCATTTTAATGCTCTTATCAACATTATTTACATTTTATTTACAATTATTATTATTATTTAATTTATTTATCATTATTATTGTTTTTTTTTCTTGGAGGGGGGGTACATTAAGCTGGGATAAAGGGGTGGAAAAAAGGAACTAAAATGTAATTGTTAACACTGATGTTGACTGATGTTTTTGACTGATGTTCATGTTCAATAAAAAGCAAAATAAAAAAAAATAAAGCACACTTGATTAATAATAATAATATAATGTAAAACAAAAATACACCAAATATCATCAAAAATGTTGATATAATAAAAGCACGTGTTTTGCTGCTTTTCTGTTGTTCTAGATGGATGCGTCTCACACAAGACACATCGTTCTTTAAATGTGATTTTGGTCTCCAAGCCCTGCATGTCTCTCTGTTCTCGTGTGTGAGAGCAAGCCGAGTTCAGTGTGAGCAAGCCTTTAGGCTGGTGTGTTAACATCAGACTCTGCTGGAATTAGCTGTGCATCAGGTCTACTGTGTACAGCAAGGTGTGTGTGTGTTTGTGAACGCATGAACCAGTGTCCGTTTTGCTGAAAGCTATAAAACATCCTCAATGCTCACACTGCATCATGGGAAAGGAGGGAGAAGGAAACCTCTTGCTCTTACCATGGACTTGGTGAAGGGTCGTGCGAAGGTGAAGAGCAGGGTCATGAGCCACCAGCTGCGGTGGATGGAGGTGTACATCATGTTCCCAGGATGCAGTGCGTTCGAGGTGACGCCGAAGGCTGCCATGCGGCGGTTCAGCTCGCTGGAGAACAGCAGGTTGCAGAGTTTGGCACGGTTGTAGGCCAGCATGGACCAGTACTGCTTCTGCGGGGGGGACAGCAGGTTCAGGTCCACCTTCCCACACGAGTCCACCAGATCCGTGAACCTGAACACACAACAATCACCAATATTACCGGTGTCACAATATATATATATATGCATCATGGATAGTGACATTATGTATTGTGTATAATTCACCCAAAATAAACAATACTGTTGGAAAAGGAGTTGTAGTGTCAGTACAACATTAAACTATTATAATCTTGCATATAATGTAGAAAAATGTGATGGGGGATATTCGTGGGTCCTGATAATGCAACATGTCTTGTCACGAATCCCGCTCCTCTGGGTCTGGCGAGGCCAGGAGAACCCGCCTGACTGCATTGTGCCCGCGGTGGGGATTATGGTGTGGGGTTGTCTTCAGGGGTTGGGCTTGGCTCTTCACTTCCAGAGAAGGGAAATCTTAAAGGGGTGGTTCGGGATTTTGGACATCGGGCCTCATTTCAAAGTGAGCCTTAGTGTTATTTATCAGTAAAGACATTTTTTAGAAAAATAATCCAGTCGTCCCAGTTGCTTAGTTGGCCGGTGCTAGGCTAGCGCGAATCATTGGTATCTGTATTAGCATGCCATTAAAACAGTTTTAACCACTCCACAGTTCACCAAAAGCACATCAATTATAACACCAGACTATCGATGTAAATGTCTGTTGAGGGAATAATGTTAGAAATCAAACTACCCTTTCATCGCATTGCAATAGTTATACTTTGTTCCCTCTATCTATCAGCATTGTCTACAGCAGCAGCGGAGTGATATGTTACCTAGGCAACCGAGAGAGCCGGTCCACATGACAATCAATCACGCACGCAAGTGTAATTACCTGCCGCTGATACTCGTCATCACTACAGAAACAGAGTTTATTTCAATAATAAAACAACAAGACATATAATTATGGCCACGTTTGAAAGCAATGATAATGTTTAGGACTTTGAAGACGATGAAGATGAGGAATGTGTGTTATTCAACGAACCATACATGTATGAGCCGGAATACACAGATGAAGAACTAATCGAGATGGATGCTAAAAGGTCAGAAAGAGAAAAAAATCTGTAGAGACAGCAGCCCCTGGAGATGCCATAGAGAACCGGGACAGAACATCGGGAGACTGGTGGTGTCAATGCAGAAAATGTATACAAATGCCGACGGAAGGCGAGTGTTTTTGCTGCAGGGAGTGGGACTTAGTTACACTATAGTGTCACTCTCCACAATGCATTGAACTGTAACGTTATCTCCACTAACGTTGTCAGTGTCGATCTATCAGTTATGAAAGAGTAGCTTCATTAGCTGGAGGTTAGAGTAGACTAAAGGCCAATTTATACTTCTGCGTAGGGTGCGCGCAGTAGGTACGGCGTAGCATACGCACAGACGCGTCCCATACCGCGTACCCTTCGCCGTCGCCTGACGCGCACCTCCTCAAAAATGTAACTACACGTCGCGACGACGCGGACCGCAAGATCGGTGATTGGTCGGCTTGGTAGCATCGCATTTCCTCCTACGCATTTCCGCACGTACCTTCTCACGCATTTCCACCACTGTCTATGATTTCCACAAGTTTCATCTCCTCCGAAGTCTTCTCTCATTTCTGCCTTTCAGTTTTAGTAATTTCACTAAAGTGAACTGTTTTTCCACCTTAATAAGCTCCAATTCCAACATGATCAGCTCTCTTTCACTCGTAGTAACCTAGCCGCGAGGAATCTAAACACAGTGGAACATTAAAACTCTCCGCCGCCAACTAGCGTTTCGGAGCAGTACTGCAGAGCAACCAAGACCTGAACGCAGAAGTATAAATGCTCACAACGGCGTCGCCTACGTGCGTAGCCAACGCCGTACATTACGGCGTACCCTCGACGCAGAAGTATAAATTGGCCTTAACAAAAGTTATTACCTGTTCATCTGTAGCTGTTGGTGCGTCGGGAAAGACGGCTTTAAACTCAGTGACTTGTTGTCGTTTCTATCACTTTGTACAAAGTCATCCGATCTAAAATGATCGCTACAAATTCAGGCCTTTAGTAGTGTCTCTGTCGGTGTATCCATACTTGACGTTCCGACTGTAACGTAGTGCGATTCTGTTGTGTTTACTTTCCGGCGCAGCTCTACTCCCGGAGCAAAGTAAAATTCCGCCACTGCTGAGAAACTAGTTCCTGTAAATGTAATGCGATCATTGAAATATATATTGTTATGTCAAGCTACATTGAGTAGTTTGATTTCTAACATTATTCCCTCAACAGACATTTACATCGATAGTCTGGTGTTATAATTGATGTGCTTTTGGTGAACTGTGGAGTGGTTAAAACTGTTTTAATGGCATGCTAATACAGATACCAATGATTCGCGCTAGCCTAGCACCGGCCAACTAAGCAACTGGGACGACTGGATGATTTTTTTTTTAAATGTCTTTACTGATAAATAACACTAAGGCTCACTTGGAAATGAGTCCCGATGTCCAAAATCCCGAACCACCCCTTTAATGCTTCAGCTCACCAAGACATTTTGGACAAAGACCAGTTTGAAGAAGACCCTTCTCTGCCCCAGTGCACAAAGCACGGTCCATAAAGACAGTGTTGGGTGAGTTTGGTGTGGAAGAGCAGCCCTGACCACAAGCCCATCCAACACCTTTGGGATGAACTGGGATGGAGACTGTCACCAGGCCTTTTATCCAGGCCTTTAAAAACTCCCAAAGAAACATTCCTTCAGGAGTAGAAGCTGTTCCAGCAGCTCCATATTATTGTCCATGTACTTATAATATGATATCATTACAGTCCATGTAGGCGTCATTTTCGATTGTTTGTTGTGTTTTTTTATATATATATATATTTAGATAGTTTGTATAATGTTTTGTTCTCAAACCCAGTTATTTTTGTGTGTGTGTGTTTTGTCGTTTGTGTCTCGTCTTCTTTTGTCGAAACTCAAGTCTACAGTCACACAAACTGTTCATGTTCCACACAATAAAGACATACAGTCAAGACTAGGTGGTAAAAATATTATAACAAAATGTTCATTGAGGGGTGAACTAAGAAGAATGTAAATGGTCGATATTGAAGAAACGGTCAAACCTTCAGTTGGGGAATAACCTCCAGAACGGGAGCCGATGGAGAAGTGAACTAAATGAGCTCTGGCAGGCCGGGTCTGGCTTAATGCAAATCAAAGCTACGACATGACGTTCTTTAATTGGCTCTGACTAAGCTGTTAAACGCCAGATGTTTGACAAGGCCCCTGAACACACGGCGCTGTATTTCCTCGACGTGTCCTTGTGTGTGCGTAAACAACAGTCCCAAGAAACTGCAGTGAAATGAATCGTCCCTCCCCTAGTGCGGATCAGAGAGTGTGTTCAGCGCCCGCATTCAGAGTTTACCTCTTAATTATGTGCTTTACATAACAACCAATCAAAACGTCACATTCACTGTGTGACAAGCTCAGTGCGGCGCGTGACACGCTACATCTCTGCTCGGGTGAACACCAACATCTGCGGGCAAACACTAAAGCTGTGAACTGTGGGAGTGGAGCGAATCTAGTTCATCTCTCCAGAGTCGGTCCCGCTCAGGGAGAACCCAATCTGAAGAGTGGCAGGACAGGCTTGACCAGCAGGTTAAAGAGCACTGGCCGAGGACAGCGTTTAGGAGACTGAAGATCTGTACGCTGATTCTTATGGATTCAGACTTGGAATAAAAGTCCACTTTTTTGATATTTAAGAATATATATATTCTTATATTCTTGTATATATACATGCATAATTAATAGTTACTGCTTTATTAAAGGAGTAGTTCACTTTTGAAAAAAACTTTTGCTGATAATTTACTCGCCCCCATGTCATCCAAGATGTCCATGTCCTTCTTTCTTCAGGGGACAAGAAATGAAGGTTTTTGATGAAAACATTCCAGGATTTTCTCCATATAATGGACTTCAATGGGGACCAAACGGTTCAAGGTCCGAAAGACAGTTTCAGTGCAAACTGTTCAAAGGGCTTTAAACGACTCCAGACGATGAATAAGGGTCTTATCAAGCGAAACGATCGATCATTTAATAAATAAATAACAAAGTTTAAGTTTTATAAGCTCAAATGCTCGCCTTGCTCTGTTCGTGACTCTCCTGTTCGAACTTGTTCATCAAAATGAACAAATCTTTATCCGAGTCAATTCGTTCGTTTCATTCGTTGAATGAACCAAATGATACGAAAAAAGATTTGTTCATTTTGATGAACGAGTTCGAACAGGAGAGTCTCGAACAGAGCAAGGCGAGCATTTGAGCTTATAAAACTTAAACTTTGTTATTTATTTATTAAAGAGCCCCTATCATAGCATTTAAAAAATGTTCCTATTTTTGTTTTAGGAGTTCCCAAAAACAGTATAACATGCATGCAAGGATAAAAAACACTTTATTTGTCTTATTTTAAACTGATTTGCTCACCGACTCCCAAATGATTCGTACAACGACTCATTTTTCCAAACCACTCCTTTGCGTGAAGCTAATCGGCGGTGATTGGTCAGATGACCCAGTCAGTTATTGTTTGTTAGCATAACGCATAAACATATTGATAAAGCACTGCAGTACTACAAGACGCTCTATTCTTTATGACAACTCCAATAACAGCGACAAACATTTCACATATTTAAAAAAAAATGACATTGGAGACCTAGAAGCTGCGCTGAGCATAACTTACACACACACACATGCGCACACACATACTTATTGTGCCTTTCCTCCTCGCGCCCAACGCAACAAAACCGTTCAAAACCCATAAAAGCAACAATTATTAATAATACTTACAGGTTGTGATTGGAAGGAGGAAGCTGATCCATATACACTGGGTAAGTTACTGAACCCTCCTTCAGGAACAACCGCTTGCGAATCCACATTTGAATTCATTTATGTTTTTGAACTAACGTTATTCGTCAATAAAATGATGAGAACACAATCGGGCTATACTGTTGTGGTATCGTTGCAAATATGAACTCTAACCACCGATTCTTCACATGCTCGTCCCTGGAAAGTGGCTGAACTATCTTTGCATTGTAGAACACAGCGTCTTCTCCACATGATGCTATGATGAAGTATTTGAATGTGTAGACTTCAAGTTTACACTTCCGTCTGCGCGCGGCCAATGACCTCTCTAGGTCACGATGTAACAGCTAATGACTCGTTTCAAAAACAATTCATTTCATAGACTCAGAGTCGACTCTCACTTTTGAAAGAGAATAACTTTATATACGGTGCACTTTCAGATATAAATCTTTGCAGGATGTTTTCATTCCCTTAGAGCTATAGTCCACACTACATGAACAGTCATTTTCAAAAATCCATGATAGAGGGGCTCTTTAAATGAGCGATCATTTCGCTGGATAAGACAGGCGAAGATATTATGAGAAAATGAATGTTTTTTGACCTTTGATTCATGTAAGACTACTGTAGGATATCCCAAACAAAAGCAGGAACCTTTAAAATGGCATAATACGGGCACTTTAAAGCGCATTTAATGTTCTACGGAAGAACAAAATCAGGTTCGGGACGTAGTATTTTCGGCTGATCTGTCCTCTGCACATGTTGACTCGGGCATCATCTCACGGCCGGGATAATCCATGCGAGGCATTCTGGGGTGGAAAGAGTCTATTTTCAGAGCGGCGGTATGAAAAGGTCAGGTCAGCTGGTGTTTAATGACTGCAGGATCCTGCTTTACAGACACTGAAGTATAAAAGCAGGAGTTTTCAGAGGTGAGTCTCCCGTCCAACTATCCGTGTCTGTTGTTTGGAGGAAAATGCCAACAGCGATCTGTCCTGTCTCTTAAGCCCCAGTGCTAGCGCGCAGATAAACGTCCCCGCTCAACACATTTCATTTTGCCACCCTCAATTTCCCTCATTCTTTGGTGTCCGCTCGTACAGCGGCGTCGAGGTTTAACGGCTCGTGCGGCTTTGGGGAATATAATCTCTTCCTGGGTCAGAGGTCAGACGGTGAGCTCAAAAGGCCACATATTAAAGGCAGTGGAACTGATAGGGATGAGGAGGTGAGGATCCGAGATTATCAGGTGTGGTAGAGAAACTGTTACTGCGATTACAGGCTGTGTAAGACTGTTCTCTCCATGACACATGGGGCTTGTTAATCTAATGGACCCTCACTCTCAGAGTTAACATGTTCTTCAAAGCGCTAAGTTAGCATAGATATCATACACAACCTTTCTCTAGTGCTGGTCTGTAATGAGCCAGAGTCTGCCCCGTGTATATTGTCTTAGAGTGTGTGTGTGTGTGTGTGTGTGTGCTTGTTTGTGTTACAGGTGGGCGGTCTCCTGGATAATGTTCACACCAGATCCAGATATAAAACACCCCAAACACTCATCGCCATCGCGTGTTTGATCGTGTACCACTTCGCTATTCGCTCGTGTCTTCACCGTCGTCGGTTTGTCTAGTGTCCGAGAGATTGTGAGGGATTATTTGAGATTGTGTTGTGATTGTGGATCTGTGGTAATTCTTGTTAACTTGACCTACGCCTGTTTGACTATGATTTTGGATACTACTTTGCATTGTTTGCTACGGACTTGTATTTATCTCCTGTAAATATTTTTGTTGTATATATATATATATATCTTTGCCAAATTAAGGGAGGTAGGGGGTTCGTCACCATTTTATTTTGTAAATCTATCTTTTTACATTGTTTTTGGTTCAGGGAGGTTGGCAAGTTTAAATTGTATGTAGTTTTTTTTATTTAAGTTTTGGTAATTGTAGAGGTTAATCAAAGATTGTTTTGTTAGTTATTTAGGCCGTGTCTGCCCCTGACACCAAACCCTTTTGAAAATAACACTTGGTAGTGAGACTCATTCCTCTCCTTTCCTGTTACGGCTGACCCCTATCCCGGGTTTAAGAGCCTCCATCACAAATAGAGTAAATCAATCTGGAGAAATGAGCGACAGAGACTGTATAGTTGTTACTTCACGGACATATAAACATGGATGCTTCAGAGAGGACCCGAAGCAATGATGTGAAGTGTTTCTGACCTGTGGGACTCTGAAGACACCACCACCACGCGGGCCGGAGCCGACAGCCTCAGGACGTCCAGCAGGAGCTGCACCAGGTAGAAGTGAGCGAGATGGCAGATCTGGAAGGTGGACTCCAGCCCGTCCTCCGTCAGTCTCCAGGGCTGCGTGCAGACGGCTGCGTTACACACCAGCACGTGCAGAAGCCTTCAGAAACACAGAGGGAAACACACGCTTAAAAACAGCATTCTGTTAGTCAAAGCAAATACACAACTAAAACAACACAAGAAAACATAAACAAAAACAAAACAAAATAATAAAACAAAACAAAAAAAAACAACAGAAAACTAAAACTAAACCAACTAAAACTATATAAAAAACTTCAACAACACAAAAACAAACAAAACAAAACAATAAAAACAAAACAAACAAAATTAAACAAACACACCCAAACAAAACAATAAAACCAACCCATAAGAACACCAAAACAATAAAGAAAAAAAACATAAATATTAAAACAACATTAAAATAAAAAAACAATAAATACAACACAACATAAAAAAACAAAAAACACCAAAACAGAACCCCTAAAACTAAAAGAAAAATAATAAAACAAAAACAAAACACCAAAACAAAACCCTAAAACTAAAAGAAAAACAATAAAACAAAAACAAAACACCAAAACAAAACCCTAAAACTAAAAGAAAAACAATAAAACAAAAACAAAACACCAAAACAAAACCCTAAAACTAAAACAATAAAACAAAAACAAACACCAAAACAAAACCCTAAAACTAAAAAAATAAAACAAAAACAAACAACATCAAAACAAAACCTAAAACTAAAAGAAAAACAATAAAACAAAAACAAAACACCAAAACAAAACCCTAAAACTAAAAGAAAAACAATAAAACAAAAACAAACACCAAAACAAAACCCTAAAACTAAAAGAAAAACAATAAAACAAAAACAAAACACCAAAACAAAACCCTAAAACTAAAAGAAAAACAATAAAACAAAAACAAACACCAAAACAAAACCCTAAAACTAAAAAAATAAAACAAAAACAAACACCAAAACAAAACCCTAAAACTAAAAAATAAAACAAAAACAAACAACATCAAAACAAAACCCTAAAACTAAAAGAAAAACAATAAAACAAAAACAAAACACCAAAACAAAACCCTAAAACTAAAAGAAAAACAATAAAACAAAAACAAACACCAAAACAAAACCCTAAAACTAAAAGAAAAACAATAAAACAAAAACAAAACACCAAAACAAAACCCTAAAACTAAAAGAAAAACAATAAAACAAAAACAAACACCAAAACAAAACCCTAAAACTAAAACAATAAAACAAAAACAAACACCAAAACAAAACCCTAAAACTAAAAAAAAACAAAAAAACAAACAACATCAAAACAAAACCCTAAAACTAAAAGAAAAACAATAAAACAAAAACAAACACCAAAACAAAACCCTAAAACTAAAAGAAAAACAATAAAACAAAAACAAACACCAAAACAGAACCCTAAAACTAAAAGAAAAACAATAAAACAAAAACAAACACCAAAACAAAACCCTAAAACTAAAACAATAAAACAAAAACAAACACCATAACAAAACCCTAAAACTAAAAAAATAAAACAAAAACAAACAACATCAAAACAAAACCCTAAAACTAAAAGAAAAGCAATAAAACAAAAACAAACACCAAAACAAAACCCTAAAACTAAAACAATAAAACAAAAACAAACACCAAAACAAAACCCTAAAACTAAAAAATAAAACAAAAACAAACACCAAAACAAAACCCTAAAACTAAAAAAATAAAACAAAAACAAACACCAAAACAAAACCCTAAAACTAAAAAAATAAAACAAAAACAAACACCAAAACAAAACCCTAAAACTAAAACAATAAAACAAAAACAAACACCAAAACAAAACCCTAAAACTAAAAAAATAAAACAAAAACAAACACCAAAACAAAACCCTAAAAATAAAACAATAAAACAAAAACAAACAACATCAAAACAAAACCCTAAAACTAAAAGAAAAACAATAAAACAAAAACAAACACCAAAACAAAACCGTCAAATTAAAACAAAAACAATAAAACAAAAACAAACAACATCAAAACAAAACCCTAAAACTAAAAGAAAAACAATAAAACAAAAACAAACACCAAAACAAAACACTACAACTAAAACAATAAAACAAAAACAAACAACATCAAAACAAAACCCTACAACTAAAAGTAAAACAATAAAACAAAAACAAACAACACTAAAACAAAACCCTAACTAAAAGAAAAACAATAAAAAGCTAAAGCTAAAACAAAACCATAAACAACACAAAAAACCCAAAACAAAATAAAAATTAAAATTAAAACAAAACAAACACTAAAACAAAACCACAAAAACCTCCCAAACGAAAACAAATGACAGATTAAACAAAACCCCTTCTGAACGGAACAGGGGATTAAACACACTCCGCACATGGGCTGGTGTCTGATCCAAGGTCAGTGTGGGCAGCCGTCCGTCAGCGCGAGGAACGACGGCTTCTGAGATCTCTCTGTTTGACAGAGTCGCTCCACTGGTCCCGAAACCACGGCCATACAGCAGAATAATCCAAATCCACCCCACCAATTTTTAATTTCTTCCATTAGAATTAATTACGAAGCCCACAGGCAATTTGTGTACTTCATATTTAATACTGCCTGCACTATTAATTAAAAACTGGTTGCTGGAAAATTAATGGAGGAATTGTTATGCCCCTGCTTTAATGAGTCTTCTCTATGACATTAAAAAAAGTACACTTCACATTTCCCTTCAGGTTCTGTGCGGAACGCAGCGTGCATCAGTGGAAGCGCACGGCATCATGGGAAATGCTTACACAGTCATGTGCTTCATTAGAAACACGTTCGAGTCGCAACTGACCAAAGAACAGTTTGTGTGCCGGATCACATCAGCTTTACTTCTGAAATACAACATGAGTCCAACAGGGTTACATCTAATAAAATAAAACAAACGCAAAATATAATATAATATAATATAATATGATATAATATAATATAATATAATATAATATAATATAATATAATATAATATAATATAATATAATATAATATAATATAATATAATATAATGCAATATTATATGTATTCATATAAAATATAAATAAAAAATGTTAAAACAAGAAAAATATAATAAAAAAAATAATACTAATCAATTTTATAATGAGATTATTTAATGCTTTTCAAAATATCAAAATATTGTTCATATTTTTATTGTTTTTTATGGATTTTTATATCATATAACAAATGCAATATATATTTAATAATATTTCACACATACAGTGAATATAAAATTATATATATAAATCATATTTGAACCTTTGCACCTGTCATGTAAATATAATATTATTGTGTGTGTGTATGCAGTTTAACCTGCAATTGAATTGAGCCCCACAAACTACTGAACTTGATAATACTGTATATAGGGTTTTATCAGGAAATGCATGCTATGGAGCTGGCAATGAATATGACTGACATTTTACACACACACACACACACACACACACACACACACACACCCGAGGAGCCGTTCACCTCCCGCTGGAGAACATGACCCGCTGGAAACATCTGTGGAGGAAACTGATCTACACTCCAATGCTGACTGACAATCTCACTCACACACACACACACACACACACACACACACAGAGATCTCTCTGGGACTTAATGAAGCGTGGACTCAGAAAGAGGGAGTGATTGTACCTGCGAGAGAACACCATTAAACTTTATGACTTTCACGCTTGTGTTTGAGAGCGTGTAATGGAAGAGGAGCATGTCTGTGATGCTCGCGAGCAGGAGATAACGGATCCCACGAGTGACACACGGAAAACACCCGCAAACCAGGAACACACAACCACACACACACACACAACACTTCAACGGACGCTCATTCCTTAACATCCCGATCTGCTGGAATACATCAGATCCAAACCAGCGGTTGAACCACTTCAGATGCTTAAGGCTGACCATTAGCCGGCGGCGGGTGAGCACATGTTCATCTCAAACCCTGTTTATTATATCTAAGAAACTTGCCAACAGTTTCGGTAAAGTTGAAACACTGATTAAAAAGTATGTAAATCTAATTGGTAATTTTTTATATCACACTAAAATAAAAACAAACCTGAAAATAAAATAATCAGATGAAAATATTTTGCAAATATTCTAGTTAAGAATAATTGCATATAAATAAAACTAATGGATGGACGGATGATATACAACAATGGATGGACTGACAGACGTACAGACGGACGCAAGAATGGATGATATACAACAATGGATGGATGTATGGTGGAATGATACACAGAAATGGATGGATGGATGGATGGATGGATGGATGGATGGATGGATGGATGGATGGGTGGATGGATGGATGGAATGATACACAACAATGGGTGGATGGATGATGGAATGATACACAGAAATGGATGGATGGATGGATGCAATGACACACAACAATGGATGGATGGATGGATGGATGCAATGAGACACAGAAATGGATGGATGGGTGGATGGATGATGGAATGATACACAGAAATGGATGGATGGATGGATGCAATGACACACAACAATGGATGGATGGATGGATGGATGCAATGAGACACAGAAATGGATGGGTGGATGGATGGATGGATGGATGGAATGATACACAGAAATGGAGGGATGGATGGATGGATGCAATGATACACAACAATGGATGGATGGATGATGGAATGATACACAGAAATGGAGGGATGGATGGATGGATGGATGGAATGATACACACAAATGGAGGGATGGATGGATGGATGCAATGATACACAGAAATGGATGGGTGGATGGATGGATGGATGGATGGATGGATGGAATGATACACAGAAATGGAGGGATGGATGGATGGATGCAATGATACACAACAATGGATGGATGGATGGATGATGGAATGATACACAGAAATGGAGGGATGGATGGATGGATGGATGGATGCAATGATACACAACAATGGGTGGATGGATGGATGGATGGATGGATGATGGAATGATACACAGAATGGATGGATGGATGGATGGATGGATGGATGATGGATGGATGGATGGATGGATGGAATGATACACAACAATGGATAGATGGAGTGAAACACAACAATTGATG